GGACTGAACTCATTTGTGGAGTATAAAATTACATAACATGAGACTGACACCCAAGGACAGTAGAGACAAGGGCCAGGAGGATTGGTCCATAATTGGAAGCCTGCCTCATGAACTGGGGGAGAAGGCAGCTGGGACAGAGAAGGGATCACTAAGAAAATGAGGGTTGAAGGGATCGCTTGGGATGGGAGATGAGTGCTGAAAGTAGATCAAGGACCAAACATGATAACCTCTCAGTATCTGTATTGCAAACCATAATGCCCCAAAGTAGAGAAAGAGTATGGGGGAAATTGTCCGCCATGGAGGCAGTGGGAGGGTGGAAAAGATGGTTATACTGGGGATATTGGTGGTGGGGAATTTGCACTGGTGGAGGGATGGGTGTCTGATCATTGTGTGATTGTAACTCAAACATGAAAGCTTGTAACTATCTCATGGTGATTCAATAAAAAGAAATCTATTCGAAATTTAAAGATTCTCACTCATATTTTTATTCTGTTTATCTAATGAGTGATACACAATATCTGCTTTTTGTTCCTCTCCAGCCCACGACAGTTGACAACCTGCAGAAAAGCATCTTGACGGTTCTCAAAAGTTGGCTCTGTGAAAAGTCTCTTAGGCTCAGTATCTGAAACCAACGAACAAAAATGAACACAAACAGAAAATCGGGTCGAGGAGCTAACTTATGGGCAAGCTGAGTTCCATTTTGTGTAGGGAAAATTTCAAGTGAGGGTAAAATCTCTCAGCGTTACGCCTCACACCTACTTGGAGAGATGGGGATGGTGATCGGGCCACCAGCGGTAGAGTTGAGACTCTCAGTGATGAAGTAGCCAAGAGAAAAATGAAAACTCTGAAACTCTGACACTGAAGATGAAACTTGGATGTGAAACCAGAGGAAACCATCAAGAGAAGAGAATGTCTGTTTGAAGGAGTTTTTTTTTTTTTTTTTTGGTTTTTGGGTCTCACCCAGCGATGCTCAGGGATTATTCCTGGCTCTTCACTCAGGAATTACTCCTGGCAGTGCTGGGGGACCATATGGGATGCCGGGGATTGAACCTGGGTCAGCTGCATGCAAGGCAAACGCTCTACCCGTTGTGCTATCGCTCTGGCCCCAGTAGCTTAATTCTTGAATACTAATTTAGTGGCTAGCAGTCCTACCATAGCGGTAAAGCCCCAGATGAAGGGAAATGGGGAAGGATGAAAATTAAAAAAAATTCTATCTACTAATTATGGATTCTAGAAGGTCATTGCGGAGGCTTGGTGGAAATAAATTGGATTGGGGAAGCACTAGATTACTTGCTGGGGCTAAGATAAGCACAACTTGATCAAGATTAATCTGCCATGTTCCCTGCCTTTAACTTTCTTCCCATTAAATTTCCATTCCATTAAAGTTATTTCAGAGCTGATTCCTTCATCGGTGTCCACCTCACTCCACCAATTCCTGTCCACCCCGATTTTCTTCCCACTCCTGTCCACTCTGCTTCTAGGAGAGAAACTTTTTTCTTTTTTTTAAGTTTTTTTTGCACTGTGGTTTGCAGTTCAGTTGCTGGTAGGGTTCCATTCTCTCTCTCTCTCTCTCTCTCTCTCTCTCTCTCTCTCTCTCTCTCTCTCTCTCTCTCCTTTTTTTTTCAATTTTTATTAGTGAAACACCATGAGGTACAGTTGTAGACCTACAAATTTTTGTGCTTGGGTTTCAATTATACAATGACCAAGTACCCATCTCTCCACCAGTGCCCATTTTCCACCATCACGGATCCCAGTATCCCTCCCACCCCCCATCCCCCCATCCCACCCTGCCTCTGTGGCAGGGCATTCCCTTTTGTTCTCTCTCTCCTTTTGGGTGCTGTGGTTTGCAAAAGAGGTGTTGAGTGGCAATCATGTTTGGTCTATAGTCTACTTTAGGCAGCAGAATGTTGGGTTCTGTCTCTGAATCCATTTTGCCACTCTGTGTCTCTTAATTGGTGAATTTAGACCGTTGATGTTGAGAGAGATTATTGTTATGTCTCTCCCTCTCTCTTGGCCCCATTCAGCACCACCTTTTCTTCCTGGTTCACTTCCCTCCACTATAGATGTTGCCTCCTCCCTGCCCTACCCCCCCAGCCTCCTCAAATGTCTGTGTTTCCTCCAGAACACTAGAGATCTCATGTCTTTGTTTCTATTATCTTTGGGTATTTGTTATTTCACGGTTATATTTCTTTTTTCTTTGTACCCAGCATATGAGAGAGATCATTGTGTGTCTACATCTCTCCCTCTGGCTAACTTCACTCAGTGTGACAATTCACAGAACTTGGACCACCTTAAGTGGAAAAGCACACTTTCAGAAAAACTCCAAGATCAGTCCACATATCGAAACACTGTAGACTGTTCTTGGCTGACTGTGATATTAAAGAGTTACTTTATGGGGTCAGAGAGATAGTACATGGGGGTAAGATGCTTGATTTGCACCAGGAGACCATGGTTTGATACCCAGCACTGCACATGGTACCCACAGCAACACCAGGAGTAACTCCTGAACACAGATCTGGGAGTAATCCCTGAGCACTCATGGGTAAGACTCCAAAAACAAACAAAAATAATAACAAAATAGTTATGTACCTAAGATCCGATTTTTTTTAGATTTTTATTAGTGAAACACCATGAGTTGTAGATTTACAAATTTTTGTGCTTGGGTTTCAGTTATACAATGATCGAGTACCCATCCCTCCACCAGTGCCCATTTCCCACCACCACGGATCCCAGTATCCCTCAACCCCCATCCACCCCATCCCACCCTGCCTCTGTGGCAGGGCATTCCCCCTTGTTCTCTCTCTCCTTTTGGGTGCTGTGGTTTGCAAAAGAGGCACTGAGTGGCCATCATGTTCGGTCTAGAGTCTACTCTCAGCGTGCATCTCCCATCCTGGGAGGATAAGATCCGATCTTTTTTTTAGTCCTACCTACTCTTCAAGTCCCTTCATGTAGCAGCAAATTTCACAACTTTATCTTTGCCTATGACCGAGTAATCCATTGTGTATATGTGCCTTAGTTGCTTCAGTCATCTGAAACCTACCTTTTGTTTTGTTTTGCTTTGTTTTGGTTTTTGGGCCATACTCAGGGTCTACTCCTGGCTCTGTGCTCAGGGATAACTTCTGGTGGGCTGAGGGGACCCTATTAGTTGCCAGGGATCAAACCTGGGTCGACCGCATGCAAGGCAAATGCATGCTTTCTTGAATGAAAGGAAAAGGGTGCCCAACTTCGTAAAATATGTGAAAAATATGTCAAATAACACCCCCACCTCCCATCGATCCTCTTCACCCACCTTCCATGCAGCTTGTTTAATCAATTGTCAGACACTATTCTTGGACGAGATAAATGTTTGCGTATTGCAACAGGAAATAAGAGGAAAGAATTCTATTATCATACACTAAGAGGGACATCAGCAAATCACAGAAACTGTTACCTGATGCCAGAAAAAAAAGCAGGTCAGACTGAAGTTTCTTTTAAGGCCAAGTCATTTTTTTGTGGAATTTTTCGAATCGCAGTTGGTTCATTTATTTATTTATTTATTTAATTTTGGCTACACCCTCCTGTGCTCAAGACTTACTCCTGGATCTGTGCTCAGAGATCATTCCTGGTGGCTCAGGGGGACCCTATGTTGTTGTGTGGGTTGGATGGGCTGAGACTGCAAGGCAAGCACCTTCCCAGTTGTGATAACTTCAGCCTCTTGGCTTATATCAAGGATTAAAAATGTGTCAAGCCATTCATCCCTCCGGGAACACAATAAGCTACTAATTCAATTTACGAAGTTTCACGGAAGTTACATGGTGCAAAGTTAGGCAAGCCACAGGCACTTACTGAATCTCCCTCCTGCTTCTGTCATGAGGGCAATAAGAATTCCATGTTTTTTATTACACCTGCTTTAAACTTACTATTTCTTTTACAATAATAACCTTTCTGCTTCGGTCCCCCGATCTGTATGGGGAAGAGATTTTCGAGTCTCGCCAAGGGGGAAAACACCACTAAAAACTTTTCTATTCGCATCTAGTAAAAAAAAAAAATCCCTCACTAGCGCCTAACTTTCCTCTTTGTGTCGGAAGCTGTCAGAGAGCCCTGGGGACCCGAGGGAGCCCCCTCCCAGGCCCTATATCCATTTGCAAGCGCCCGTCCCCCAAAGTGGAATCTGGCTGGGTGCGAAATTCTCCCGCTGCGGGCAGAGGAGCAAGGATGCCTTGTGGCTCCAGCCAATCAGAAGAAAGGATGCCTTGTGGTTCCAGTCAATCAGAAGAAAGGATGCCTTGTGGTTCCAGCCAATCAGAAGAAAGGATGCCTTGCGGTTCCAGCCAATCAGAAGAAAGGATGCCTTGTGGCTCCAGTCAATCAGAAGAAAGGATGCCTGGTGGCTCCAGCCAATCAGAAGAAAGGATGCCTTGTGGCTCCAGCCAATCAGAAGAAAGGATGCCTTGCGGCTTCAGCCAATCAGAAGAAATGATGCCTTGCGGCTCCAGCCAATCAGAAGAAAGGATGCCTGGTGGCTCCAGCCAATCAGAGGAGAGGATGCCTGGTGGCTTCAGCCAATCCGAAGAGAGGCCAGCGCGGCGCACCCCTTTCCTCTGACCAATCATCTCGTCGCCCGGCGGGCCGGGCCCGCCCGACTACAACTCCCGGGGAGCCTTGCGCGGCCCGAGCCGGGGGTGGGGCGGGTGGAAGGGGCCGGGGGGCGGGGTCCGGGCCGGAAGCGGGGCCCGAGCTTCCGCTGCCGCTTCCGGGCGGGGCGGGGCGGCGGGCTCTCGCGAGGCGGAGGCGGGGGCGGGGCCGCGCGCGGGGGCGGGGCCGGCGGCGGCGGGACGTGGGTGACGCGCGCGCTTCCAGCTCAGCGCTGGGCGAGGTGGCGCGGCGCGGCCGCCCATTGGCCGTCGGGGCGGCGAGCGCGGGGCGGGGGCGGGGCGGGCGCGGGGCGATGGGGCGGCCGGCGGCGGCGGCGGCGGCGGCGGCAGTGGGGGCCGCGCTCCCGGGACTGGGCCTGTGAGGCCGGCGCCGCCTCGCTCGCTCGCTCGCGCCCTCGCGCCCTCGCCGCCCCGTCGCTCGCCGGCTCGCGCCTCGCTCCGGCTCCTCCATCTTGGCGGCGGCGGCGGCCGGGAGGATGCGGCGCCGCCCGGCCGGGGCCCGCCCGAGGAGACGATGAAGAAGCACCGGCGGGCGCTGGCGCTGGCCTCCTGCCTCTTCCTCTGCTCGCTCGTCTGGTGCGTGCGCGGGGCGCGGGGGGCGGCGGGCGGCGGCGGGGGCGACCCGGGCGACGCGACCCTCCCCCCTCCCCGACCCTCCCCGGCAGGTGTCGCCCGGCCGCCCCCGCCCGCGCACGCCGGGGGCTCTCGGCGGGGAAGCTCGGCGCGCCTGTGTGTGTCCGTGAGTGTGAGTCTGTGTGAGTCTGTGTGAGTCTGTGTGAGTCTGAGTGAGTCTGAGTGTGTCTGTGTGAGTCTGTGTATCTGTGTGAGTCTGTGTGAGTCTGTGTGTGAGTGTGTCTGTGTGAGTCTGTGTGTCTGTGTGTGTGTGACGGGTCGACCGCCGCGAGGGGCTTTCGGCGGGGAAGCTCGGCGCGCCTGTGTGTGTCCGTGAGTGTGAGTCTGTGTGAGTCTGTGTGTGTCTGTGTGAGTCTGAGTGTGTCTGTGTGAGTCTGTGTATCTGTGTGAGTCTATGTGAGTCTGTGTGTGTCTGTGAGTGTGAGTCTGTGTGAGTCTGAGTGTGTCTGTGTGAGTCTGTGTGAGTCTGTGTGTGTGAGTGTGCGTGAGTCTGTGTGTATCTGTGTGAGTCTGTGTGAGTCTGTGTGTGTCTGTGAGTGTGTCTGCCTGAGTCTGTGTGAGTCTGTGTGTGTCTGTGTGAGTCTGTGTGTGTCTGTGTGTGTGACGGGCAACCATCACGAGGGGCTCTTGGCGGGGAAACTTAGCGTGTGTGTGTCTGTGAGTGTGTCTGCGTGAGTCCGTGTGTATCAGTGTGAGTCTGTGTGTCCGTGTGTGTGACGGGCGACCGCCGCGAGGGGGGCTCTTGGCGGGGAAACTTAGCGTGTGTGTCTGTGTGTGTGTGTGTCTGTGAGTGTCTCTGTGTGTGTCTATGACTGTCTCTGTCTGTGAGTGTGTCTGTGTGTGTGACGGGCGACCATCACGAGGGGCTCTTTGGCGGGGAAACAGCGTGTGTGGCTGTGTCTGTGTGTCTGTGTGTCTGAGTGTCTGTGTGTCTGTCTCTGTGAGTGTGTCTGTGTGTATCTGTGTGTGTGAGTGTGTCTCTGTGAGTCTGTGTATCTTTGTGTGTGTGTGTCTGTGTGGCGGGCAACCGCCTTGAGGGGCTCTTGCTGGGGAAACTTTGAGTGTGTCTGTGTGTGTGTGTGTGTGTGTGTGTGTGTGTAAAACGGGCGACCAACGCGAGGGGTTCTTGGCGGGGAAACTTACCAGAGTGTGTGTCTGTGTCTTTCTCTGTGTGTCTGTTGGTGTGTGTGTGTGTGTGTGTGTGTGTGTGTGTGAGGCAACTGCTGAGTCTCTTGGCGGGGAAACTTTAGTGTGTGTATGAGTGTGGATGTCTGTGTGTGTCTGTGTGACTGTGTGTGTGTGAGTGTGTCTGTGTGTGTGTAACGGGTGACCTCCGCGAGGGGCTCTTGGCCGGGAAACTTATCAGAGTGTGTGTGTGTGTCTGTGTCTGTGTGTCTGTTGGTCTGTGTGTTTGTGTGTGATGGGCGATTGGTGAGAGAGGCTCTTGGCGGGGAAACTTAGAGTCTGTGTGTCTGTGAGTGTGTGTCTGTGAGTGTGTGTGTGTGTGTGTAACGGGCGACCGCTGCAAGGGGCTCTTGGCAGGAAAACTTAAGAGTCTGTGTGTGTCTGTGTGTGACTGTCCTTGTGTCTGTGTGACGGGCAACTGCCGTGAGGGGCTGCTTGGCGGGGAAACTTTTGTGTGTGAGTGTGGGTGTCTGTGTGTGTCTGTGTGACGGGCAACCACTGCGTGGGGCTGCTTGGCAGGGAAACTGTGTGTGTTTGAGTGTCTGCCTGTGTGTGTGTGACGGGTGACCGCTGCGAGGGGCTGCTTGGCGGGGAAACTGTGTGTTTGAGAGTCTGTTTCTGAGTGTGAGTGTGTCTGTGTGATGGGCGACTGCACGAGGAGCAGCTTGTAGGGGAAACTTTTTAGTGTGTGTCTGTGTGTGTGTGTGTCAGTGTATGTGTGTGTCTGTGTATCCGTCTGTGTGTCTGTGTATCTGTCAGTGTATCTGGGTGTCTAGGCGTGCAGGTTCTGGGAACTTAGGGGGCGTCCCTGCAAGATCCCCCCCCTCCCCCGCGGGAAGGAAGAGCGCCTCTCTGTCCCCGGCGCTGCAGTTTCATTTTTATTTATTTGTATTTATTTTTATCTTTCTTGTTCTCCCAGCGTGGCGTGCTCTCTGGGCTTGGGGGAGGGCTCAAAGAGATTGTGGGGGCCCGGGATTGATTTGGGGACTCTCGGGACTCCCGAGTCGTGTGTGTGTGTGTGTGTACCCCCCCCGCCCCGCCACATACACACACCCACACCCAGGTGGGCTCTGCAGACCCCTGGCCGACTGAAGGAGGCCTCTCCGGAGGCTTTTCCCGGCCGAATGATTTGCAGGTGGAGGTGCTAAAATAGCCGAGATAAAAGAAAGTTTCTTGAAAAGTTCAGTTTCTCTCCGCAGAGGGCAGTTTTGTGTGCTGGGGGGTTTTTGTTGCTGTTGTTGTTATTTTTGTTATTTCTTTCTTCTTTTCCTTTTTTCTTGACCCACCCCCTTTTCCAAACAGGGCTCCAGTGGGACTCCAGAGACACCCAAATCACAGACTAATTGCTCTCATCAAATGATTTGTGCATACGGGGACAAGCAGACCCTGGCGGGGCTGAGGAATTTCGATGGGAAACGTCACAGGAGATTCACAGAGCGCTTTGTTGAAAGTCAAACTTATTTCTCATTCCAAACGCTTTGAATTAGATCAGTGCCACCCCCCGCTCCCCAGATTTCTCCGTTTTAGTAAGGGTTGGGCACCCACAAGGAAGTAGTCTACTCCTTCCACTTTAACTTTGGGGGGTGCGTCAGTGGTCACCTTTCCCTGGGGGGCTTGCCCAGTTTGTAGATCACCCTCTCTTGCCAGGTTCGACCTACTCACTCCGCATCAGCACTTTCTGAAATGCTGACATCTGCACTTTTCATTCAGTTTTGAGACACACTGGTGTGTCTGAATTTTTCCATTGGAAATTTGAGTCTAACTTTTGTAGTGTGCAAGTGTGCAGCTTTATCAGATGTCAGTTTGATAATGTGGGTTTGATACGTTTAACTCTTGCAGTAGGACTGCCATTGTAGCTTTAAGGTAGCACTTCTGTCTGGTTTCATAATTACCCGTGTTTTTATGTGGCGGGAATAATTAAGATCTAGTCTCTTAGCAAGTTTGACATGATGGTGATGGTCATAGAATACTACCCTCCAATTCACTGTTGAAACTGTTTTAGGTATATTTGGCCTGCCATATTCAGAGATACTTAGATTATTCTTTACCGAGATTATGAAAAGGCGTTAGAATAGGGTAATTTAGGCTTGAGATTTTTTGGAAGGGTGGTGATAAGATTTTGCGTGAGTGTGTTTTGCTGGTGATTGGCAAAGACCATCGTACCTCTTGAGATGTATCGTCCTTGAGAAGTTTAAGTATTAAAATTGCTTAACGCACTACTTCGACTCCAGCTGTAACTCTTGCTCCGTACGTTTAATCTGGTCCCTCCATTCCCTGTCACTGACCTGACTGGACATCTAAAAACAGTGTAGGTTAGGCAGGAATTTTGCAGAAAGAGCTGGTCAGCACCTTTTAATAGCCTTTTTGGTCTGTTTCGTTACAAAATTGTTACCAAACTCTGTGTTCCATTTTTCCCCAACTCTTGTAGATTTGCGAACGTACATGATTATGCTGCTGTAGTTTCTAAGATTCCCTTTCCTCATCCTACTGATATTACCGAATTTTGTCACCATTTGATGTATTATGTCTCATTTTTATAGATCTTGATTATCTCGACCCTGTTCTTTCTAGCATAGAGTAGTTGTTTTTCTTTTTCTTTTTTAGTGTGTGTGTGAGGGCTTGCTTGTTGATGCTCAAGGCTTTACTCCTGACGCTGCTCACGGCTCACTCCTGGCCTTGCTCTAATGACCCAGTGAGCTGCCTTGGCTTGAACCCAGGTCTGCTGTATGCAAGACCAGCTCCCTACTCTTTCTACTCTCTCTGCTGGCCTGGAATTTTAGACTTAGACTAGCTATGTGGAAGCCGGTCGTATCCACCTTCTTTATTCTACTTACTTTGTTTTCCCCTTTTGCATTGTTTAGCTGCACCATAGAATCACGGTCACGGTCACGGTCCTCTCGTTGTTCATCGATTTGCTTGAGCGGACCCAGTAACATTGAGAGACTTGTTACTGTCTTTGGCATATCGAATACGTCACGGGGAGCTTGCCAGGCTCTGCCGTGCGGGCGAGATACTCTCGGTAGCTTGCCAGGCTCTCCGAGAGGGGTGGAGGAATCGAACTCGGGTCAGCCATGTTGGCTGTGTGTAAGGCAAACGCCCTACCCGCTGTGCTATCGCTCCAGCCCAACCATAGAATAATATGTAATAATTTGTTGTTGGGTTGGAGAGAGAGTATAAGGACCCGTCACCACCCCGATCATAGAGCCTAAGTATTTGTGGGTATGATCTAATACTTCTCCCCTCAATTTGTTGTCATCTCTTGTTTTATCTAGCCTATGGTGTGTACTATATACGTTACCTCTTCATTTTCATACACCCTTTTAAGTGTTACTGTTAACCTTATTTTGCATTTAATAGTTGAGTAAGTAGAGAAGTCACTTAGTTAAGTGACTCAGGTTCAGCAGCTATTAAGCTCTGTTTGAACCCAGGAAGTGTGAATCGCAGCGCTGGCTCCCGGGTCTAGCTACCCTTTGACCACAGGGTTGAGGGCCTATGTTCTAGATAGGCTCCATCACTTACTAGGCACCCTTGGACCGCTTATGTAATGTCTTTGAACTCTTAATTCTTCTATCTAAAAGTGGGAGGATGAAGTAGTATAAAACCCATGACCCATTTTTGTAAGCACCGGGGTGTGGTGTTGTGTTTTCCATATATTTCTTTATAAAACCATTCAGCAAAGATTTTTTTTTCCCTCCTGATTATTACATAACAGGAGTTGTTAAGAAATTGAAAGCCTAAAAATAGGGTGACCAAACCTA